CGACGATGTCGCCTCGTGGCCGATCCCCGTCGACCACGATTTCCCTCACCAGTTCGGTCGAGTCGAGGCTATTCGCAGGCAGCGGGGTCGCTGCAATGGCCGGGTACTTAGGGCGCCGGTGGTCGCTCATGGTGCGATGCCCTCCCGGGCGATACGTTCGAGTTCGTCGCGGTGGATCTTCACCAGCCTGCCGAGACGCGTGGCGCGGATGGCGCCTGATGCGATCCACGCGTCGAGTTGACGCTCGGAGACGCCGAGGAACGCCGCGGCTTCGCGGCGCGAACTTAACGTCGGCAGTTCGGCGGGGGCGGCTGGGGTCATGGGGTACCTCCCTTATGACAAGTCGGGGCGGGTGGGCCGTAGGTCAGACGCTCGCGGGGCCGGCGGCCTTCGCAGTGCAGGCCTCGACGAACTCGAGAACGGCCGCCTCGCTCGTCTTGGGCTTGCCGCCGATCATCGCCACCTTGAGGCGTACGCCCTTGTGGCCATCGTGAATCCATCGCGAGACAGTGCTGGCGTTGTAGCGAACGCCGGTCACCTGATGGATGACGTCAACCGGCGGGCCGAGTTGCTCGCCGGCTTGGATGGTGAGGGGAGCGACCATTTAGAAACCTCGGGGCGGTGCGGAAGGAACGCAACGCAAAGCTACCGAGGTAAAGAGAAGCCGCAACTATTCGGTGCGCGCACCGCGGTTGGGATAGTCGAGGTATCCGCAATCACGGGCTTTGCGAAGGCGACTGACGAGCTTCCTCGCTTCGGGGTCGATGCCCTTCACTTCGCCCGTTAAATGCCGAGCGAGATCGTTGTAACGAACCTTGGGGTCCTTGTTGGCGACGATCAGGATCCACAGGTCTTTCAGGTCCGGATTCTCGTTCAAGAAGTTCAGACAATCGTGCGCGCTTGGCGCGTCGATGCTGAGGCCGACAAGGTCTGCCGCACGCAGCCGCGGTGCGCGTACCGAGAGGGTTTCGCCATCGCCCGTCTCACGGGCCAGCGAGAAAGNNACACGCCCGCTCGAAACGCATCTCCACGGAGGACGCCATCATAAAGGCGCCCATCAGCACTTCAAACTCGGGCACGCAACCGGCCGAGTTGTCGTCTCTATCCGGAAGGGTATCTCGCAGGCTTTGATCGAACGGCTCGCCTGGCAGCCCGCTCACAGTATCCCAGCAAAGCCTCTCGAACGCCGCCATTGGTTCAGAGTCGATCTGGAACTCGGACGTATCGATCGCGAGGCAGAATCCTACCACTAGCACAGACAGAGCTCTGGCTGATTCTGTGGGGTAGGGGGGGAGCTGGCCTTTCTTGAGGTCATCCCGGATCGACAGGTACTCGTCGCCGATGTCGCGAAACCACTGCCCCAGGTCTTCGAGGACTTCCTGGTCGGCTCGTACTGCTAGCGCGATCTCGAACGCTTTATCCGTAGGCATGGCTCTGACCCTATGTAGCCAGCCCGACCGCCGCGGCTCACCGGATCAGATAGCGAGCCGAGGCGATCGACGGGGTCATGACTCCCCTGGCTGGCGATCGCGGAAGAAGTCGCCGCGGGAAGCCCCCTCCCCGCAGCGAACGGCCGAAGTGTACGGCCGCGCCGCCGCTCGAGGCAACCGGCTCGAGCGTCTATAGCCGAGCGGGGACTCGAATGAGCGGACAAATGACGGGATACTCCGAGCCTCTGGCGCAGAACGCGGCGCAATTCCCAGCAAGGACGTCCAATCTTTTCAGCCCAGGACAGACTACAAACGATGAGCACACACGGGTCGGCAATGCCTGATCATGAGCGCGTCATCGCTATCGATTCTTCCGTCCTGGGAAAGATTCTCGACGATTGCGCGAGCTCAGACGCGAAGCGTCGGGAACGAAGCACACGGTTCATTGAGGCGATTAAAACGCGGGGCCTGTGGATAGGCATTGCGTGGACTCACGTCATCGAGTTGGTACGTCACGGCAATCAACAAGTTGCCGCGGCTCGAGTCAGAGCTCTTCGATCTCTTCCGAGAATCGCCTGCCTTAGAGCATACAACTGCAGCTCCTTTGTGGGCGCGGACATGCATCTTGTGCAACGAGAGATGCACTCATGGCTTTACCTCGGCCTCCGCGATTGGGAAGAGATCGTTACCCACACGCGGCAGGATGCCTGGACGTTTGGTGACGGTGCGTCGATGATTCCGCCAACCACTGACCGAGCTTGGGGAGCTTTCAGAGAGCTAGCCATCAGTGACATACAGCATGAGAAGATGGTGGCTTCGATTGCTCGCACGGATCCTGGCAAGATAGGAAGCCGTAGCCTCTTCGAGCTTCGTTCGGCGAAGCCCCGGAGCCTTCAGTCACGGACCGATTTTTTGCCTAGCTTCGTGCAGGACCTTGCTGGGCAATTGTTGCAGCATGGCGACCGTGGATTAGCGGGTGCTCGGAGAGTCGCCAAGGAATTTGCCGCGAGATCGTTTGGCAGAGTCGATCGCGTAGAGGCTACCGGAGGCGACCCCTCATCAATCTGCCTGTATCACCCGGGCGTCCCAGAGACAATGTTGGACCGACGCACCACCTGCAGCGAGTTCGGTGAACTCACCGTCGTTGCAGAGTTGCTCGCCGTCGTCGGAGAAGGTCTCAACCCTCCCGCCAAACTGAGCCTTCACAACGTCGAGTTGGATGCAGTCCCGACGCTTGCTATGGAGCGGGTGATTCGCACCATACAGCGAAAGGCTCCCATTGTCTCCGGCAGTGACGTTGGGGACCGCGCGCTCGTGATGCTCGCGATTTACGCTGACTTCGTAGTTGTTGATAAGCGCACGCACGAATTCGTCCGTCAACTTCGGGCTACGGCTCCTCGACTTGGAAAGCTGTTGGGGCGTGTCGTCAAGTGCAGGAGCTACACGGATCTTCCGGCGGTGCTCGAATCGGCTTCCGCTTCCACGTAGGCTAGCGGCGCCCGGTTTGTGCAACCGAGACTTCGGAGGACTCGAACGACGCTAGCCGGCGTGGACAATCGGCGCCGCGCGGCGCACTTGGCGGCGCACCGTTGATTCGCTTTCTCGCTCACTGGGAGCTTAGTTAATCGCCTGCGACTAGCGAGTAAAAGAATGCGTCGCTTGTATTACGTCGAAATAGTCGTGCTATGGGTCAGCTGGCACAATGGCACGAGACCCCCGCTTGTAAGAAGCCGTTTGATTCCGCGTTGATGTGAGCTCAGGTACCGAACGACCGCTTTTGACGCAGACACGTCGACCACGACCGTACCAGCGCATGCCACGTTCCGACTGTTTCCAGTAGAAGTCAGGTCTTCAACCTCCAGCGACCTCCTTACTGGGTGCAAGAACCTCTGAACCCCTGGCCGTAGTTCCTCCAGATCATTGCAGCATTGTTTGGTAATCTGCGTGCAAAGGACGTGACTGCCGCTTCCGCGAATACTTGAGACAACCGTTGGGAGCGGATGCTTGTAAGTGTTGGAGGTTCCGACCGAGATCACCGTGCAATCGGCCTTGATTGCATGGGAATACAGCCATTGGAGGTCACTATCCGTAGCGCCTATTTTCCCTCCATGGTGAGGGGCCACAAGCACTTGGCATTTGAGAGGACCGCCTTGCCGCTTCTCTAGGGCTCGCCACTGATCCATCGTGGCATCCCCCGGCATGATCAATCGGCTGGACCCGCGCTCTATTGCGAAGATCGCGCTCGTCGCATTGGAGTCCTCCGATTCCTCGGCGGTCAGATTTTCAATCAGAGTCGGAGAGTAAGCTTTAAGTGCGATATCCAGGTCCGAGTCGTGGAA